CGTTTAAGACGTTCGCTAATATCGCGCATAAGTAACATACCGGAACGATCAATCTCAGCACGTATTTTATCATCGGAACGATTATTTAATTCTTCCAAACGCTTTTCCAAATAATCTTTAGCCACAAACGTGTTCCGAACCCAATTCTGCAAATCTATTTCCTCAAATTTCACACCAGAGTTCTGATTCTGTTTAAAACCCAAAATCTCAATCAAAGAAAGTTTCACTTGCTGATTGAGCAACTTGAATTGCTCATTTTGCAGTGCTGAGAATTTACTTTCAATTTCAGCGAGAAGTCCACTAAATCGCTTATCGGTCAACAACTCATGCTCCTGCAATCGTATGAGTAAATCGTCCTGACTCCCTTTCAGTTTTCTCAACGAATTCTGTAACTCTTCATTTTCCCCTAACTTGTCGGACAGTGAAAGTTTTATAAATGCAATTTGATTGTTTAGTTCATCGATCAAACGTAGCTGTTGTTTGAATTCAGTTGCAACATTTATGCCAGCACCAGAGCCTTCCGTCTTCGAACTCAAGCGTTTTTCATCTATAGCAACGTTAATTCGCGCATCTACAAACTTCGCTAATTCCGGTGCACTCAACACACGTCCCAGAACTGCATTTAAGTCAATGTTTTCCATTATGTATGTCAGGTGTGTTTGCTTATTTACGTTGATTTGTTGCTTTACGACTTCTGTTATTTCCTTCAAGTTCTCAGCAGTTAATCTTACGGGGTGTGAGCTAGACCAGCCAGCAGCCTCTAGTTTCAATTGTATGATCCCTGCTAAATGTTGAACCTGATCTTCACTTAAATTTGCCAGATTAATTTGGCTGTCAAACTGTCCTTTCTTCGCCATTTGTTCAAAATTTTCATGCATGATCTTGACAATGATTTGCATCTGTTGTGGTGTTAGAGGTGCGGATTTCTCTCTCTGCAGTCTTTCTTCTTTTAATTTGACTTCCAACAGCTGCTGCACATAACTATTAATGTGGTTTAATATATTTTCATATTCTGCGGCAGTCAATGAATTTTTCATGTTCTGCTGCAATTTTTCTATGTGTATATTGGCAATTGTGTCCTCTTTAGCTCTTCGTAGTAGTTTTGCACTAAAGCCTATAATAGCAGATAATGAGAAGAAATCCTTCAGTGTGTTCCCAATATTAACTACACGACTTCCTAGGGTAGCGTAAAATGACGATGGTAGAAGTAATTGCGCCTTTCGTAGATAATTATAATCCTCATTCTCACCAAATAAACGCCACGCTAAAATACATAAAACAACGTACAATCGAAAGATATTTCAAATATGCTAATATTACGTCACTACTTTCTTAAAAATTAAGTAACTCTCTAAAAGTACTAAGAACATGGCTAATTACAATTAGCGAAACAAAAAATCCAACTGCTAACAAAAGTTGACTTATGTATTAAGGCTCAGACCCTGCAAGACTAAGGCATTCAACTATGGAACTCCAAGAACTTTTACGACTTAATGACATTCTAAATTACGCCTTTGACAACTGTGCAGAATCAGTTTTAAAACTAATGAGACGAGACATGAGATACTTGGACAGAAGTAGCTTTGCCACCGCAAAAATCCAATTAACCAATAAGAATTGTTTTTATTAAATTGAATTATTATTTTCACACATGAACACGTGAATGTTTTCGTAATATGCTTTATAAACAGTAAGTATCCAAACCTCTCAAAGAAGACTAAATGATCTTCTAGATCAGACTATGAAGCTACATTTCTATGGCGTAATAAAGTATTAAATTTAGGAGTGATAGAACTTTATATTAAATAGAATATATTTTGATTAGATAGGTGGGTAGATAGAGTTGATTGGTCAAAATCATGCACAGTCCTGATAGATCAGTACTAGATACTAAATACTAGATAACGAGTCCTTACTGGTTATTAGTGGCGATACACATTACTTAAGATGTGTGTGTGTCATCAATGAACTTTAAGAGATCATTTAATCTATCAGGCAGACAACTACCCACAAAGACGGATAACAACTCAAGAGTTATAAAATTTTAATAAAGTGAAGAGGATAGGATGGAGTATGAGTGATGAGAGATGTAAAAAAATGAAATATAGTGAAGTAGAAGAAATAACTATAGATGAGTGAATATTCTAACCTATTTTAAGAGTTAAGTTGACCTTAAAATTCGGATGACCAAATTCCAAAAGTATACAAATTGTTGAACAAGTGCCTATTAACACTCTCATCTAAATTTTAACATACACGAGAGAGGTGAAATGTGCAGGTATTTGACCTTTAGGCACATATTTAGACACGTGATACTGCACAAACCAACATATGATTATTTGTTACAAGTTGCTCAAATTCAGGCTCTCCGAAGGTTCTTCAATGTACCATGGTACATTCACACGAATGACATCCTAAGAGACTTTAGAATAGATCGGGTCAAAAAATACATAAGGGACAGAGCTCTGAAGCTATATGCGAAATCCGACAGGCTGCCCTACTTAGTACTATCTAATCTCAGAGTAATCACTAACCGCACAGGGCAGTATGCAGATCTTAGATCAATCATTAAAGAATCACGAAAATTATCAGGAATACTCAAATTAGTCAGTGAGATGGGTAGAACTCTGCAGAATTCCCCCAGCTATCATAGAGTAAAAGTGCCCAGATGCACTAACTCGGAAAAGGCTTAACATAATAATAATACTAATATATTCAAAATTTTAGAGGTTGCAATATTTTTTTTAATATTTAATGTTTATTACTAATAAATAACCTCAGAGGGAACGATGGGCACTCGTTTCTAAATAAAGAAAAGAAGATAAAATATAACATTAGTAAGTTCTGACTTCATGGAAATGATTTTTTTTTTCATAATTAATAAGCAACTATAAAGGTATTAAGTTATCCTTCTTCATTTACGTAAGAAGTTATTTTGTTAGAATTCCTTATAATAATACATTTAAAACAAAAAAAAAAATTTTTAAAAATTATTTTCAAAACAAACTTACGAAATTTGATATAAATGAAGAAGGATAGAGTGTTTGGGTTAAATATTTCGTTTATATATATATATTTATGTAATTCAAACAAATACACTACAAAAATACTTACCTGACTAAAGGTCTTAAAATCTGACAAAATGAAACGCGTTTTTTAGTTTGTGTGTTTGTTTATGGCAAATATTTAATTTATATATTAACATAAAGTTATTTTTCAATTACAAAATGTTTAACTCATTTAACAACATTTAGCTATTATTAAAAATAAATTGAGAATCTCTTCTTTAAATAAACTTATACTTTTTAAATTTTAAAGCTAAAATATGCGTTCAGTTAAATATTACAGCGTTCTCTCTATCCTTCTCCAATTTTTATCAAATATTCCCGATGTAGTTAAGCGTGTTTTAGTTTAAAGTTGGGATTTAGGATTATTAAGGGAATTATAATATTTGTTAAGGAGGTGATAATAAATTTAAATAAAAATTAATTTGTCCGAAATGCTAAGACTTTGTACTTTAGAAATATTTCTTAATCTATAAGATTTTAGATTTAAGAAACATATATTTTTTGGGCGGTGGTAATAAATTTTGTTTTAGAAACACATTATAAAAAATAATAAAAGTAAATTAATAATAAAAAAATTAAAAAAAATTAGAATAAATGAAAAATAAAAATAATAATAATAATAATAAAAAGAAACTAATAATAATAATAAAAAAATAATATTATTATAAAAAATAAATTAAAAAATAAATTAAAAAAATAAATAAAAATAAATAAAAAATAAAAAAGTAAAATAAAGATAAAAAGATAAAAAAATAAAATAAAAATAAAAAAAATAAAATAAATATAAAAAAAATACAATAAAATAAAAATAAAAAAATCAATATAAAATGAAAAAAAACCAAAATAAAATAAAATAAAAAAATCAAAATAAAATAAAAAATAAAAAAAATCAAAATAAAATAAAAAATAAAAAAAATCAAAATAAAATAAAAAATAAAAAAATCAAAATAAAATAGAAAATAAAAAATAAAAAAAATCAAAATAAAATAAAAAATAAAATAAAAAATAAAAAAAAAATTACTATAATAACAAGCAAAAATAGAACAAAAAAGAATAAAATAAAACAATAACATAAAAGAATAACAAAAAACAATAACAAAAAAAAGCATAAAAGAATAAAAAAAAATAATAATAATATAAATAAACAAAAAAAATTATTAAAATAAAAAGTATTCTTAATATAAAATTTTTTTTTATTTTTGGAAAAAAATTTTCTAATTTTTTATTTCTACTTTTCTATTTGAAATAGTTTTTAGAATTAATTAAATATATATAATTTGTGCATATTTAAATTGGAACTATAACCATACAATTAAATAAAAATTAAAAATGAAAAGAAACAAAATCGCACAAAAATTGATATATACATCTACAAACAATTGTCTCAAACTCTTTCGAAATATTCAGTATTTCGAAAAAATTTTTTTCCTTCGTCGTACATGTTTTCTGTGACTTTTTTAAGATACAAGACATATTCGTCAGTCCAACTGCGAGCATTTTCTAAGCTAAGAACGGTTTGAGCTTTGAGATATTCATACTGTTCTCTATTGAAATATTCGGACAAATTAATTTGTGGAGGGGAAGGTAAAGTGAGGGAATCAGTAAAGGATTTAGGAGGAAATGCATCGTTGGGATGTAAATAATAATAAAGACCTGAAAAAAAATTTCACAAGCAATGTAAAAAAGCCAACATATTAAATAATTACTGTAATATTTTAATAATCAATGGATTATAAAATTAAAAACATTTCGAAAATTATATTCAAAATGTATTTATAAAATATTATTGTTTGAATTGAAACGAGATTTTTAAATTATGAAAATATATAGACATACAGCCTTCTATCAAAAAAAAAATCTATAAAATATACTAAACCAGAATTTGTATTGAAGTTAATGCCCGATTTTAGAAAATAATATTACAAAGGCATTAAATAATATTTAAAAATTATTTAATTGAAAAATATACTCGAAGTATACTTATTTGACAACAAATTTTACTAAAGCTACTTTCTCTACTCTATATGTCAAATATAGCTTAGTTTTTGAGATATGGATCTTTAAAGATATAGAGGAAATTACGATAATTGTCGTTTATATCATTAATGTAGTTACACATATAAATTATTACTAAATGGTGTGTATAATTTTGTTTACTATAACCAATGTTAAAAGTTCACAACTTTAAATCTCAATATCTCAAAAACTAAGCTATGTCGACGTATAGTCTAGTGAAAAAAACAAATCAAAATAGATAATCATATCCTTTCATATCCTTTCCTTTCATATCCTTTTATCAAATTAACGCATTTTACTTTGAGTGGATATTTAAATGGTATTTTTAATTTAACGAAGTCATATTATGTTTTAAAAAAACAAATTTTCAGTACCTTTCTAACCTATTCTTCTAATTTTATACAAAAAAGAAAAACCTCGTATATTTCAAAACTAGCCTTTTTTCTATATATTTTTAATCCATTGACAAAAATATTATAAAAACTTACCAATTAAAAGTAGTAAGGGTAGTAAACACAATAAGAAAAGCAAAAAACGTTTGCGACCTTTGTTGTTCACATTGGAGGAACGCAATAGCCAAGTGTCCATGCACAGAATATTTGATATGGACAAGTAAGTGTAGTGAATTAAACTTCTAAAAGTACTCGTGATTCTTTCTCCAAAAGAGGCAAAAACACCTGCGTAAGAACAATAAACAAATTAATTATTTATAGAAATATTAATAGATGGTTATACCTTTTCTATTTACATCGGTAGTATATATATTGCTATGTCGTCGTATTTGACTGGAAGTTCCAACAAGCCTATCCCAAGTAATTGTTGTTATTGTAGTAATTATAGTAATGAGACGCATTAACCAATTTTCTTTTGTTTGCATACTGCCAGTATTATAGTAAGCCTTCTTTTGACATTGTTTTTCAACCAAATAATCAACTTCATCTGCTGAATCATAATAACTGCTTTGATCAGTATAGATACTACGCCTAGACATATTCGGCATGCCCACGTATCCATTAGTTAATGGCCTTCGATGTGGTGACAGATAAGAATATGTATAATCGGTCTTTGGTGTTTTTCTATACAAAACAGATTTTAAGAATTATTATTCATCTGTATATATATATGGTACTTTATGTAAAAACTTACTCCCAATATTCGCCAGCCAATTTATACTCCAAATAGGCAGGATGTGCCGACAAATCAGTATTAATCGCTGATTCATTGAATATACTACTGACGGATTTATTTTTTAGTGAGTTTTCAGCTAATTTACAAGTTATTTCAAACTGAGAGTTTAGATCATTTTGTGCACTTTCTGTTAATACGGTACGTCCTCTTCTATTGCCGCTTCTGGCAAATCTTGATATAAAACTGCCTGAAGAATAGCTTTCTTTAGGAGTTGATGTATTAACAGTTCCTCTTAGTTTTTCAGTTGTTATAAATTTGGTTGTTGTTGTTGTTGTTGATGATGATGACATATTATTTGTAGTTCTCAACTGTGATTGACCACGTTTAACGTTGCTCTCTTTTTCATCACTTGCCGTTTTTGTTAAATCAATTATTTCTTCAATTATCGTCCTAAAAATGAAATAAAATGTATAATTAGTTAATAAGGAAATATGATTCAATTTACTAATATATGAAATATAATACTAATATATATACTAATATATTGTTGCGTTCCACTCTATTTACGTGGTCGTTCGCGATCACTGGATTCTGTTAACTTGAGAATCCAACTTGAGTTTAGTATAACCGTTTATTATCTATGTATTTTATAAAACACCAACCCAATATTTTCTAATAGTCATATATCTATCAAAAACTTATTTTCTAACTAAACTGACATTTTAAGAAGTTATCAAAGTTTACTTAAATTGTATATTCACAACATAAAGTAATATAAGTAAGCTACTTACTATATATATTACTATACCTTTATTACTATATATATATTACTATACCTATATTACTAAACATATATTACTATACCTATATTACTATACATATATTACTGTACCTATATTACTATATATATATGTTACTATACCTATATTACTATATATATATTACCATATATATATTACTATATATATATTACTACACCTATATTACTATATATATATATATTACTACACCTATATTACTATATATTATGTTGAAGCTGTTGTGAGCTAGTGAACTTAAGCACTTATACTCTTTTTTAACTCGAGGTATTATTATTGTATATATTATTATTATATATATTATTATATAAATATTATATTTATTAATATCATATTATATATATTAATATTATTATGTGTATAAAATTATATATTTTATTATGAGACACAAATTATTATTAAAATTATTTATTACACATTATTGTTAAATTATCACCTATTCTATTATTAAAAATAATTTTATGTACACTATCATAATTATTACATATTTTATTAATAAGTATATATATTTTACTCATGAGTTTGGGGATAAACTTTACGTTTCTGACATTTTCAAGGCAAATATTTTTAGCAATAAAATACTCAAATTTATAAAAGACTCATTGATGAGATTTTAAAATTTTGGCAAGATCTTCGAAAATATGCAAATTAAAATACATCTACGTAATTTATGACACAATTGTGCAGTTGACTAATCATAATTCCACTCCACACAGACGAACAGACTACCACGAGTATATAAAACTTATAAAACTTATATATTTGTTTGCAATGATTGGATAGCAAAGAATATTAAATTGTTAAAAAGACTATCACATATAGTGCGTTAGAGCACCAGAAATCTGCAAAAGCATGGCTCTAGAACACAGCGTTTTATGCCCCAATGTCAACTGATTGATAAGAAATGTATAGTTAACTTCTTCAATACTCATGGTCGCAACTGCACAAAGCGAAAAGAAAATATCTCCTATTTTCTTTGTGCAAGTCCTGCTTTTTATAAGTGGAGACCAACGACCCTAGGTAAACCGCTCTTCAATAATCTTGCAGAGCTAACGGAAGATTGTTAGCTCTTTAACGATCTGTCAACTTCAACAATCTGTAAACAGTTGACAACGAAGCTAATTGAACTTTAATTGGCATTTATACCAACCAACCAATCTAATTTTGAGACAGCTTTATGCTTTGAAATAAGTGTACAAGTTGAAACTGGTTAATTCAATTTATTATAATAAACGAAATATTTGTTTCCAATAATTTATAATAATACTAATTATACATATTTTTTAGATTAATTCATTAGATTTAATAGAATAGATTCAATTCAATGAGATCTGGTAATATATAAATCAACATATATATAAATCAATCAATAAGATCTACGTTTAGTGCAACATTCAAGCACAATCCAATGTTATAAATTCAATAAAAATGATATTAGGATTCATATCATAATAATTGATGTTTTTTCTAATAAAACTACACAACCTTCGGTTCGAACGTGTTATTAGTATGTAGATTATAATATGTTCACAATTCCACAAATAGTTTTCTAAAAATAAATTACATGAAAACAATTATTTTTGTTAAGAACTTGACTTTTAAAAGCATTTCCATTTACGTTTTCTTAGTTTTTTAACCTATTTACAAAAAAAATTAAATTCTGTTTCGAAATTCACGAAACTAAGAAAATAGGTAAGATTAGATATGTATACATATGTTAGGCAGTTTAGTAGATTGATTCCTGTACTATTTCTTATCATAAATTTTGATTTAAATGGAATGAAATCATCATATATCATACAATAAGATAAGATAGTGGGATGACAATTATTTCCGTAACGAGAGAGTAAATCATGCAAAACACAAAGTAAAAAAAGTGTTGAATAATTATAATTTAGTAATACATTTCTAAAATGTATATATTATGTTGGCATCTAAATGTATTGCATTTTTAAATTTAATTTATTTATTATATATATCCCTAACGGCTTTTGGAAACCTAAGTAAAAAAGTGTTGGTTGATTTTTTTTTTCTATCTTATAAAATTATTTTCTATCAAAATTGCACCAACGTTTTAAAGTTTATTTGACTTTAATCGATTAAATGCGATAAATTTGAAAGAAACAAATGTATTTATATCAATTATGAACTAAACTCTTTCACTTCACTCGCGCAAGCAGACAAAGCTCAACTTAGTTCATAAAGTTAGTTAAAGAAAATTGAAAGTGCTATTTAACAGTATTAAAAAAAGGCAAAAGACGTGAAAAATATTTTTATAAACAAAAGCCCCGTTGTGGTTAATAATTTCTAAAAATAAAGTTCTGTCTAACCATTTTCAGTTTTAAAAATCAATTACGATGAAACATAAACTTTAATCAAGCAAACAGTCAGTACTCAGTTAGCTTAGCTTATGCAACATATATATTGAAAACCTGTTTTGTGATAAAATGTCATCAAAAAGCACTTAATTAAAAGGTTAAAAAAATTTAAGAAATTAAAAGTGTCAATTTATAGCAGAACTTGTAAATATTTTCAATGCCAATTCTTATGCATATATTGAAAAACTACTCAGTGACAAAGTGACAGCTAAAACACTTAAATACAAAACGTAGAAAATTTGTGAGTGCCAGCTAATAGCACTATAAACAATATTTGTAGAGATTTTTTAAGGTAATTATCAATTACAATTAAAGCTAATTATTAATTAAACTCCTTACACATACAATCAGTGCTGACCGTAGGTTTTTTTTAGTTTTTAATTAAAAAATTATTCAGTGCCGAAGTACCAGCGAAAAGCGCAATAAACGTTAAGTGCTAGCTTACAGTCCAAATAACAAAATATGTAAACATGTCATATTTTAAAGAGCTTAGAATTTGACAGAGTACAAGTTCAACCCTTGATTCTCAAAAAATTGTTTACGAATAATTTAATAGAAGAAATAATTCCAAGACCACTAATAATGGGTATTTGGCAATACTCGAAACAACTGTGTGGTCAGCCAAAAATTCAATTTATTAAAATAATATAAAAAAAACTTTAGTTGTTGAAGTTCACTACTTTTTGAAACCTCCCTACCAACAAATACACTAGTTTCTATTAAGTAAAATAGTCCCTTCCGTCATAATTGACGTTAAATTACAACTAAAAAAAAATAGTCTCGCCTATGCGAATCATAGAGTAACATTAGCATGACTTTCTTCGTATTACGTTCTTAGATTAGGTTCTATACACAAAAAAGGATAATATAAAAGGATGCAATAAATAATGCCTGTACAAAAGAGTAGTATTAAAATTTAACAATCAAATTTACAAATATAATTAACTAATTCGATTCTATAGCTGATTTATAATTTTGTTCCAATACTTGCGATCTCAAAAATTATTTACGAATAATTAAATAGAAGAAATAATTCAAATACCATTAATAATGGGTATTTGGCAATACTCGAAGCAACTGTGTGGTCAGCCAAAAATTCAATTGATGAAATATAAATAAAAATGTTTGTTGTTGCAACTTAGTACTGTTTGAAACCTGTCTAAACATTAAATACAAAACAATCTCCTTGATTTTATGCAATCAGTGGTCAACTTGACTTAAATGTATACATTAAGAAATTACTTAGTGACAAAAAGCCACCAAAAAACTTTGAAAAAAATTAAAATTACCAGCTAACAGCACTAAAACTAGTATTTATTAACGTTTTTGATGTTCAAAACATTGGAAAATTCAAAATTAATACAAATAATTTTACTATCTTCGAGGTTGTTTGTTAATTATGCACACTTTACATATATTTATTTCCTTGAGAAATTATAATATATATACACAGAACGTATAGAACATATTATATATTCTAAATATTCATTCATATATATGTATATATTTATTCGTAAATATGTTAAAATTTTGCATAATAAGAACAGAAACAAATTCGTTAAGAATGTTTAGAGGAGGAGGAGAACTACGTCATTTGCTTCGTTTCAATTATGTATGCTTCGAAAATGTTTTGCGATATTAAGAGATTAAAATTTTAAACTTAAATTATTAGAATAATAAATTATTTCAGTCAGAATAGAAAACATTAACATTAAGGAGAACAAATCAAAATGAACTGAAAAATACGTTAAAAATATAAAAATGAAATAAAACTGAAAGAGCTACTAAAGCTCCGATATTGTAGGTATGTCGGGTGGTGCTACACGTCTTATTCATAGCACGACCTTCATTGTTGTTATGTTTGTATAAATTTGTTTATTTTATGTTTTGTTTGTTTTTGCCACAAAAAATTGTTGAAAAGGCCAAACAAAAAATAAAAATTTTGTGCGTTATTTCGTCATCACTTAAATTTAACTTCTAGTATAATTCTCTATGTCTGTAAATATACTCGTAAATTCAAATGGAAAACATAGAAAAATATTGAAACCACTCAATGTGAACAAGTTCCTCTGAACAGCGTTTCCCCCCACCGCACCCGAAACACGACACAGACCCCAAACCCCAATAACCGTCAACGTTTTTGAAAAGTAACCGACTTTGAGGCTTCCGTAGCACGTTTGCCGCCACAAATAAAATGCGCCAAAAATATAAATTTAACGTTAATGCTTAGCCAAATGTGTGACTGATATTGAAACAATCAAAACAATAAAAATAAAATTAAAAAAATAATAACAAATAAAATGTTGTGGTGTGGATGGAGCGCGTTGAGATAAAGTTACTTTATTAGCGCGATGTGAACGCTGACTTCGCTGACGGTGACTAAATTATTGCGCGATGACGACATACCTACGTGTTTCGCTGAGGTTTGGTTTCAGTATTTATTCCATTTATTCCATTATTTTTCCCTTTATTAATATTTATTTAGTTTTTGCCATAACAGAAAACAAAATAATTAACTTTGAATTAATTAGAAAATGTACATAATACGGTTATCGTTTCATCTGAGTTATGCGAAACAACGGCGATCTATAGAATCTAATAAAACTACATGAGATTACCTTAAAGAATGTACAGTATGACCTCGATTAATACAACCTCGATTATTGCACTTAAGCATTTTTACTCTTCCTTAACTTGATGTATTTTCAAAACCCCTCTCTACACCTTGACTAGATTACTGGGTATCACTTCATTAGACTAAGCAATAATTGACCTCAGATCTACAAAGCTCACCGAGGAGCCGAGGAGAAAATGGTTACTTTTAAGATTTGATAACGCGGTGTTGGTAAGTCTGTAAGTTTTCGGAAATAATTTCACGGCTCTATCCTTTATATATTTTTTGATGGGATTAATCTTGAGGTCCCTGAGGATGTCATTCGTCCTAATGTACCATGGTACTTTGAAAAGTCTTTTCAGAGCCGACTTTGTGCAATTTCTAGCTGGCGAATAGTAGTGTTTGAAGTTCCTTTGGGAACACACTCTCGGTGCATAAGAATATTATGAAATCATGAAATTAATTCAGATGTTATTTTTCAACAAGAAATCAGACTCGGAAACTGAGGCCATGCAATTACACTTAAAATCAAAAATGGAGTGAACGCTGAATGCACTTAACACATGCATACAATGGGCTGAGGAAAATTCCTTACCTCTTACAAAAGTTGTAATACTTAAAGATCTAAAACATGAGGCAGTTACGATGAATCTTAATTGTAATAAAAAGCAAAGTGAAATAACAAGTTATTATCATAAAATATGATTGCAATTATGTTGTTATAAATAAAAATAAGTAATCATATTATTTTCTAATAAATTTATAGATGCACTAAATAAACTAAACTCGATTATTACAACTACACCGAATTCTGTTTCGAATTCTATTAGTTGCATTAATCGAGGTCATACTGTATTTACTAATCTTGTATATTTCTCATACTATTCTTACTATATTCTCATGTTATTCATACATTCTTCTTGCACACTTACTCTACAGCAGGTATTTTCTTCTTCTGGTGCTGTGGACTACTCTTTAGATGATCGACATGATCACAGTTTTCATGATCGCATGCTGAACGCAAAAAGGGTGTTTTGGAACGCGAACGGCGACGCGTGATCATATGATGTTCATTCATTATTCCACCGACTTTTCTCACCAATAGTACAAATCTGGAATTATAAATAAGCAAACATTTATATTGTTTGTAAAAAAAAATTCCATATTTAATTTAATTTTACATGCCTTCTTATAAATACTTAAAACAATAATTAGAATAATTATGATAATTTAAAGTGTAATAAATTTATAAAAAAAATTACTTAGCAATCGGCGTCAAAAGCGTTATAAATGCGCTCCAAAGAAATAGTGAAGCTTTCCTTAAAGGTAACGCATATTTTTACATTGCCATATTATCATTGAAAATAAGTGCTTTGCGCTCGCTATATTCGTAGGGTTCTAAATGACTTTCAAGTCATCACAAAGCGCTTAGCATTTTTAGTAACTAAAGCATTAAAAGTGGACAAAAAAGCAGACTGACAAAGAGATTGATGCGATTAATTATACATTATGCGAAGGGAAATATAGACATTTCTGGAAAATAAAATAACATCCCGAAAAAGTTAATAATTTTTAAACAAAAGCTATCTAGACATACTAGACTAAATTTCCTTATTCAAAACCGATTTTTATAACACCGTTCTAAACTTTCAAGATGTTTTTGGGATTCAAATGAACTACCGCATTTGCACCGATTGAAAAGCTGTTTAAGCTAATACTGTCAGAAATTCTTTCTTCGTTTTTTAATGCTCTTTGGTTTAATAACACACTCACACAAACAGTCAATCACAACACACATAGACGAATGTTCATACCAAAATAGTATAGTCTCACTCAAAAATTAATCCACTAAGTGTAATCCTAAATAAACAATCTCTTGTGTTCAGGGCCTTAGATCTATTAGTTTATCATTATTACTATTTAGAATGCCCCGAATATATAAATTATTATAACTTATATACCTTACGTCTTCAACTACTTCAAGAAAACTATCTAGTTTTTATAACACATCTATTATGGTTTATTACATAAATATATTGTGCTAATTTCACCAATTCTTCAAAATACAAATCTTTCAATGGAACTTTTTGTATGAAATAAGCTTTGTACACCCCAATCAGGTTAAAGAACTCTCTTAAGAAGTTACGTTTTTTGTCTAGATAAATCTTTGTAATCCATTTAAATTATTATTGGACCTTTTTCGTGTTAAATGCAAAGAAATATGTCTTCATCAAAAGAAGTAATTATATTTACTGTAAAAAATTTAAAGCAAACTCCTTGATCTTGTGATAGTGATTCCTCGATAGTGAACTCGTACAGAATCCGTCAAGAGTGATAGTGGGTGATATGGTAATAAACTAGGAGAATAGCGTTAAATATCTCGGTAACACGCTGGACAAACGATTCACATGGCTTAAACATGTTCAACTGAAAAGAATTAGCTGTGCCAAAATTCTTTATCACCTCCAATCGCTATTCAGAAGCTGATATATAACCAAATAATTCGTTCGTCACTTCTATATGATTGTGTAGCGTTTAGCAACGCTTCAAACACTAATATTCGCCAGCTATAATCTGCACAAAGCCAGGCTCTGAGAAGACTTTTCAAGATATCATAGTACATTAGGACGAATGACATCCTCAGGGACTTCAAGATTGATCCCATCAAAAAATACATGAAGGGTAGAGCCTTGAAATTATTTAAGAAAACTGACAGACTTAACAACACCACGTAATCAAATTTCAGAATGATTATAGGCTCCTCAGGGAGGTATGCAGATCTGAGGTCAATTATTGCTTAGTCTGATGAAGTGATAAACAATAATCCAGTCAAGAAAGAGTAAAAGAGCTCAAGTGCACTGACTCAAAGAGCTTCAACATAATGAACTCCTACAACTAGTTTAGAAACTAAGACTAGTTCAGACTACAGAAAAAAGGCGGAAATGTAAAAATCAATTTCTCTCAATGTTAAAAATATAATAAAATTATTTCAGATTTTTTTAGATTCTTAAGACCATAACGTGAAATACCTCAGAGTAAAACTAATAATGGAAAACCTCAAATGTATTATTACCATTTTTTTAAGTTAAAATTTCAAACCATTTTAACTTAAGTGTATGCCATAGACTTATACATCTCTAGTAATATCTTTTATTTCTTTTCATTTCCATTAGTTTTATAATTCCTAAAGCTATTTCTTTCTTATTATATTATAGTATTAATATTCAATAATTACAGATTTTTCCTAAGGGTTCTCAAAACTGAAAAACAAAAATAGATAATCGCCTTGAGGTATGTTTAGTACATCCGTTAAGAAGCCTATCCATCTCACAGATTAATGCCTTCCAAAACAAGAAACTACAAAGCAATTCAAATCAACAAAATTTGATTGCTAATAAAATTAGCATAAAACTTATTGTAAAGCGTGAAAATGTTTTAAAAACACAAACTATTCCATATTATCTCAGCCTTCACAATTTTCACAATTTTTTGAGCAAACAACACAAGAAACAAAACAAGTAAACATTAAACTATTTATAAATTGTTTAAATATTTTTGAAATATCTTCTCCAAAAGCAGACGAATATTGTGAGTTCGCCATGTGGTGCACAAAAAGCGCGCCAAATGAAACCAACCGCGAATGAAAATCGGGAATGGAAAGAGGCATGACCCATTCAGACCCACCAAACAGACACTTCATTTGTGTGTCGCAATGCCTTCAATGATAATGAGATCCGATAACAGGGAGTGGGTTGTTTACATTAGCATCGTCGTGCATTACATGATGAATTAAAATTAAAAACGAAGAAATAAGCAAAATGCTAATGTGTTTGGAAGGGAAAACAAATCAGGGGAGAAGAAGATTTGGTGTAGATTGAAGTTAATTCATGACGAAACATGTTGTCTTGAAGAGATTGCTTTGCGGAAGAGAGTAGTTGACTTAGGAATTTACGCCTACTCTTTTAGTGACTTTAACGTAATTCCTAATTTGGAATAGAATTGACAGTAAAAATAATTAGAGTAAATCGGGTCAAGTAATAAAAATTCAAATCAAATAAAATTCTAACAATGCTTAACAATGATGCAAGTGTTAAATTTTAATTAGAATAACATAGAGTAATAGTAGTGGTAGAGAATATATATTCATGACTAATTAATAGATATTCCAACTACATGTATATTACAGCACTCCTATAGCTATTGTCTTTGTCCAAATAAATGACTTTTATGAATGATTAGTAAGCGAAATCAAACATACTTCCCAAAACTAAATACAGTTTTATAGAGGTTATTATTTTAATCAGTTTCCAAAAAAAATAATTTTAATTTAAATAGAAAGATTTTATTGTAATGAATTACAACAAATTTAGTAGAATTAAAGACTTCTATGAACTTTAAAAAAAATTTTTAATTATATTTACTTATATGTATTTATATATATATACAGTCAAACTTCCATAACTCGAAGTCCGATTTTGGAAAGAAAAGGTTCGAGTTGTGAAGACTTCGAGTAAGAGAATTTTTTTATTTTATTTTTTTTATATTTTTTTATTTTTTTTTTATTTTTTATCAAGTTGCATGATTGCTTTGTCGACGGAAGAAAAAAAATCGTGGATATTTTAAAACCTCCACTCAAGTAGTTGATACAAACAAACTAAACGACAGATGGCGGTAAAAGTACTGCCAACTGGAAATAATAATTTTTTTAAATTGTGAAATGTGTATACTATTTGAATGATATACGAGTAGAACGAGTAGATCCGGCCACTTGACACATGAAGAATATCAATGTAATTACAATCAGTAGAAGTACGAAAGGTGACCAGTTCGGTAAACGAATAAGATAGTAGCAGTGTCCGGCGATAAGTACAAAATAAATATACTTGAAAAGTGTTTTGTTATTACAAAACAGTAGAGAGTACTGTTACTCTATTACTGCGCTCATTACTCAAGATCTGGAGAGCCACTTTAGGCCCAGTGTGTTCACACTGTATGCACGCTAAACATTTGGAAGACACATCAGTTCATATTGAGCAGTGACCACTAGCCAGAGTGATAGGGTGTTTTTTAGTGCAAGGATACAGCGGAACCCCGTATATTTGAACTTATTGATTATGAATATCACTAAACCGTCTCATAATAAACTAAAAACTTTGAACGCTGTTAAAACCCTAATATATTATATACACTCCACATAGATATGACATATACAATATTGAAAAGAAATAAAAGGAAAATAATATTAACAATAATTTAGAAGCGGAAGAGTACAGCAAAACAAAATGGTAAATAGAAAGAGAGGGAAATGCTAAAAGAAATACATTTTAATTAAAAATAATACATTTTTGCCGGCAAATTAAGGTAAAAGGGTGGTTAGAAATTAAATAGGAGGGTGGATAGAATGCATTAGTTTAGTTTTATTAATTGAAGGGTTCGTTGTGACTTCTAAGAAATTATTCGATTTATTGTCTTGTCTATGAGTCACAGTTTTTGTGACTTACTGCGACGTACTTTGCTCAGGTAGACAATTTAGTATGCAAAATAGATTGTTATTATAAATTAGATATGTTGCTTCATTAATGTTAATAGATTCAACTCTAATAAAAAATAATAAAAAATAATAATAAATAAAATAAACAAAACTTTAGCATGTGTTCGCAATATGAATTGTGTGAAGTATGCAGAAGAAGCACTAAATTTATAAAAGTTCCATATATATGTACATTATTTTATTCTTAAGATTTTTAACTATAACATAAATTAAAATATTTGAATGAGTATTTAGGAATAAGAATCAGAAAGTGATATCCCCGGGCTTTTAAATCACAAATATCGTATATTTAATAGATAATAAATATATATTAGTAAAGATGTAAACACTCAATTATTCGACTTTACGTTCTATGTAACTACTAAATGAACGTTAATGGCTTTATCTTTAATATAATAGAGACAATTGTATGCCATTATATAGCTATTCATTTCTGAAGCTATAACAGTGTCTAAATGTTTTTATAAATCTCCAGAAGAATACAAAAAAATTGTTCAACAGAAAGTAATCGTTAAGTTTTTGCGATA